TTYCCCTCCAATTTCTACAGTCTTCTTGCTTCCTCCTCCTGTGAYTCCTCTTTGTATAAATCTGTTCAAATYGYAAGTTTCTGTTTGCTACAGGTGCCCAACTAATGACGCAGTTATAACAGAGTGCACTTACACTAGTGCTCTTTTATATGTATTTGTATACATATTTGTAATCTAGAAATACTTTCAAAGAAATACAGAGTAGTCAGGTAGAAATGTGGTTACCTATGTTTAAAAAATGAAGCTTCTTTTTTCTGTACATTCCATCTCTTTGGAACTTGCCCTAGGCATTAGCTGCAAGAAAAAAATGATGCTGAGTCTTGATATCTCTGCAGCCTGAAAAGGAATTTTTGAGATCTTGTGGCAAGGCCTCGTGTAAGGATTTGTGTGGAGCCCTTAGGGCTGAGCATGTCTCCCAGGTATATCCTTGGAGTTTTGCTCTTGTGGAAAAGACTGGTCCCAACAGATAATCAATATGACTTGGCTCTGTTAGCTGACACTKTGTTACTTGGCTTTATGCAAAGGGCAAATATCTCTTGAGCTGTTAAAAGTAGAGGTTGGTAATGGTAATGTTTGCTGAAAGGATGAAAATCTTGCCTTATTAGCACTATCTTGAAATTAWCAAGTTGCCATGAAATTTTAGATTGGCATCTGGATTTTAGAGTGGAATTAAATAGTGTGTTAATGTTTCCTTCTGTTTGACATAAGGACTTGATATGGTTAATAATACACTAGAAGGTTTTGGTCTGCACTGAGAGCTTTCAGGGGAAGAAGAATCTGAACTTACTGAAGGCAGGGCTATCACTGTGGACTTCTGCTGTAATGGGTGGTTTTGTAGAGTGGTTTTACATTTTTGTTTTTTGATTTATTTCTAATATTCTAAGACCATTATCAATCTTACTTAAAGTATTCCATCATTAGAACAATTTCAGAGTCTTGTATAAAAAAAGCACTAAGCTGTCTTAGCATGCTGCCAAAAGTGTAATATTCTCTTGTGGATATTAACCGCTCACTCTCATCTCTAATGCTTTAGTGTTGAGTTCAARCCTGGTTCAGCTCGGCAAGAGCAGCTGGCTCTGCTCAGTTTTGTCTCCTAGCTTAGGTTTATTTCCTTACACTGTTGGTTGGAGCACCTTTCTCTGCTAAGGAGCTAACTAAAGATCTGAAATTGCYGTGATACAGAACTTTTGGATGCCTGTTATCCAATCTGAAATTGTGAAATTCATATGTGAAATTCTCACTGCTGAATTTCCACACAGTCCTCTAACTACTAGAATCAAGGTGCTTATTATACAGTAACTTTTATAATTAATGTTTTGGCCTAAGTTCTTCCCTCAAAACTTTTTATGTTGCTGCTTTTGAAAATGCAGGCATACTTGATCTGTGCACCACTTAATGAGAGGAAGCCTGTCGTGCATACTTACCTCTGCCAGGCTGTTTTAGAGCTTGCTTACTGTCTCAAAATGATTTCCCTTAGAATAATAGGAATGGTTATTTTAAAGTGCAAGGGGGAAGGAAGAGAGGGGAACAGCATGGGAGTGGAAAAAAGTAGTTTTGCTTTTCCCTTTTCATTGTTGTTTTGGAGACGGAAAGAAAGCCAATGTTTCCTCTCCGGTTATATCAAATGAGCAATCTTTGGGAGTTTAGCCTGGGCTAAAGCTGCYTTTGTGTGTGTTGCTGTGCCCGTGGTTGGCTTAGAGCCTGCTCTCCGCCGCGCTGCAGCAAGGCAGTGCTGCAGGTGGGGTCTTGTCCTGTGCTGGTGGAAACTGCCGGGGCGAGGAGGGCTGCTCTGCGAGGGCTCTGCACAGGCTGCTCCTCTTCATTAGCCAGCACCTTTGGGAACACTGTCATAGATGCTCTTTCCTTGCTTCCGCTGCCCCTTGGTGGGAGTGCGGATGCTGGTCTGGCTGCACACGTCATGCCCAAGACACCCAGGGTAGTTTGGGCTTTCTGGAGGGCTGCTTGGGGGCCTCTTGGTGGCTCAAACTTTGTGCCTGCTTGGGCTGTCAGTTGGGTTTAGCTCGTGAGCTCTGAGCCCGACTGCTCCAGTGTGCAAGCGGCTGGAAGGAGCCTCAGCCTGAGGCGCTGCTCTCTTCTGTGTCTGGAAAGGAAAGAGCAAGGGCTGCGGGGGAGACCGAGGCTCCTGCCTCGTACCCAGGCTGTTCTGCACTGCGCCTCGTGAAGGTGGCTCCTCCGCGCTGATGGAGCTCTAAATCCTGGGTTTTACCAAGCAGGAGCTGAGGTGGCTTTCCAACGGAGCAGTGCTGCTGCAATGAACCACTGCAGGCTGGAAGCTCCCTTGGCAAGCAGCCAAGGATCATGTGGAAAGGAACAGCGTCCACTGGGAATGTCCAGCGGCGCCGCGTCCTGCCCGCGCTGCGGAGCCGTGTGCACTGGCAGCCCGGAGCGGGGCGCGAGCCGCAGGTGCCTGGGGCTTCCCAAGCGCTTTCCTGGGTTTTAACTTGAAACAAGAAAGGAGAAGAATGGAAGTGCAGAGGAAATGGGGAAATTGGCCATTCACAACAAACTCTCAGATCCAAGGGAAATCTTTCCCCTGTTACCCTCTTACTGTGCTGAACTCTGAAAACCAGAGCACTGCGGTCAGGTTGTTCCGCACTTTTGTGTAGAAATTTTGCATGTACTTTTTTGGTCTCCCAAGGATTTAATAGCCCCATTAGCAGAATCCTTAAAACCAGGATCTAAAGGTCTGCTAGGTCTGCTGCAGGTCAGGCTGTGGCTCCCTGCAGCTTGAGCTGTCACTGGTGCCTTCCTGCCCTCCTCCATCCATGTCTGCACCTGTATCTGCTCCCTGTCACCACCACTGGCTGCCACTTGCCGACCCTTGTGCTGGGACAGGTCAAGGTCCTGATCAGGAACAGCAGCCTGCTTATGCATCTGCCTTGTAGGTCTGCCCATAGCCCACGCTTCGTGGTGTATCCCTCTGGAGTGGTCAGCCCTGAGAAGTAAGGGAGTGGAAAAGCCCCAGCGCAGATGTGAGATAGAGGGCTGCATGGCTGGGAGTCCGCAGCTACCTGAGCTAAAGCTGCTGCCCGCCTGCASCCATGGGGAGCAGCTTAGGTATTCCTGTGCCAAGGAGAACCTCAAATCCAGGTAGCTCCCATAATTTCCTGCAAAAGCAGAGCTGGTGGCACCGAGGCCGCTGCGGGTGCTGCCTGAGCCAGGAGCTTGTTCTGTTGGCAGGTTCTCAGCCCCTCCTGAACCGCTCTGTGCGGTTCCTTCAAGCACTGCCTCAGTACTGAGCTGACAGCCCGTTGCGATGCTGAAACCACTGAGTGCTTGAAGGTAGAGAGAACTTGTTATTGTTCTCTTGGCATGGCACGAGCTTGGTTTAAATCTGGCTTTGGTAATCTCAGCAGCTGCTTGGGAGAGGTTCAGCTTTCAAGCAGAAAGCAAATGTCTCAGTATAGTGACTTGAACTGTTCTTTATTACCTTCTCATACTTGTATTTTAAAAAATGCATATGGGTTTTTTACCATGTTCAGTAGCAGTCAGACCACTTAAAAATATCTTGGGTATTAAACTGGGTAATTATTACTCCGTTCTCTTCTTGTCTAATAAACAAAATCTGATTTAAGTATTTTCAAGAGCCCTCATCATCATCCCTAGAAAGGAGACCATGCTCTAGAAAGGAGAATACAAGTCTCTGACACTTTGAAGTCTCTCAGCACAGTGCTRCGGAGCTAAATTCCTACAGGTTAATTTTGCTGTTGTCCATATCTTGTCCACAAAAAAGACTAGAATTCACAGCCCAAGTGTTGCTTGGGATTGACTATGGTGGCAGCAGGAAGAAGTTTCCTAGAGAGAGTGAATGTGTCTTGGGAGGGTAGGGAGCCTCGGKAGTAGGATGTGCATAGCATTGGTTCTGGATATGGTGCAGGAAGCACCATATGGAAGAAGGAAAGGACTGGAATTGCTGTGGCTGAAACCGCCGTCAGGAGTTGTAGGTGGAAATAGGAATGAGCCATTAATGTATGAGCCAGCATGTCTGGCACTTCCTGGCATGTGGATGAGGGTAAGAGTTGAGATAATGGCTTTGTTGGGAACTTCCTAGAATAGATGGGATGTTTTGAATCTTGGAGTACGTGGGTGTATGTGGCAGAAGAATTTGCTGTCCTGCATGTAAATTCAGTTTAAAATTTTTCATATTAAGTGACAGCAAGAGCATCCAGCTGAAGGAATAGAAGCACGCACTGCATCACAGAACTGACAACTTAAGGAAACAGTCATTTTTACCTGTAAACTGCAAGTATTTTGGCACATTCATTGTTATGAAGAGCTGTCTTTGGGTTAACTTTTCAATTCTAATCTTTGAGAATCTAACATCAGACTTGGGTGCTTCTCATCAGAGTATTTCTCCATYTGCTTAAATCCAGTTACTACGGATAGGTCTTGTAACAAGACTAAGGATGTTCAGTTGAGATCACTTCCGTGCTGCTTCAGGCTTCTCTCTCCTTTGCCCCAAGAAAAGTAAAACTCAGGTCAAAAGCAAGTGTTTGAGGATTATGTGTATGTATTCTATTGCTTTTTAAAGTGTTTCTGCTTAATAAAGGAGAATGAGAGAAACACCACAGTAGCTTCTGCATTGAAGGAGGTTGGGCCTCTGGGAACCTGCATCTTGGAGCTGGCTGCTAGGAAGCAGGGTAGCTACAAACTCTTCGCAGGTTTCTKTCATGCATAACAGCTTATTGACCAAAACAGCTGATATTTTGCTGTTTTGATTTAAGTTTCATGAACTTCAACATCCATAGGAAGACTTTAATATATTGATTAATGTGGAACTAGGCTCTGGTGAAGAATCTGTCTAGTGTTTTTGAAGGCACCTCACTTAAGGAATTTATTGGATCTTCAGGTTCTAGATAGAGAAAATGAAAGGTCTTCAGGGCAGGACTTGCAG